TTTTGGATGGGATGTTCTGTATATATCTGTTATGCCCATCTGGTCCAGTGTGCCATTCAAAGACATTATTTCCTGGGGCACCTAGGTGGGTCAGGTGGTTAAGCGTCTGACTTTGTCTCAAGTCATGAACTCATGGTTCGTGAGTTTGAGCCCCACATCAGGCTCTCTGCTATTAGTGCAGAGCCCACAGAGGATCCCCTGTCTCCCTCACTCTCTGCCCCTCCCTTGCTCACTCACTCTCTCAAAAATAAATAAACATTAAAAAAAATGTTTCCTTATGGATTTTCTGTCTGGATGATCTATCCATTGATATAAGTGGAGTGTTAAAGATTTTCTTTTTCTTTTTCTCCTTTTCTTTCCCTTTTTATTCTCTTCTCCACTATATATACATATGTATGTATACATACATGTATGTATATATTACATGTATGTATGTATACATACATATGTATATATAGTCATATTTTACATCTTTTTATTCATACTTTTCCACTTCTCCACTATATATATATATGTATGTATACATATATATAGTCATATTTTACATCTTTTTATTCATATTTTTCTTATGCCTAATTATGGCCATTTCTTTTCCACTTAAAGAAATCCCTTTAACATTTCTTATAAGGCTGGTTTCATGGTGATAAGTTCCTTTATCTTTTGTTTGTCTGGGAAACTCTTTACCTCAACTTCAAATCTGAATGATAACCTTACCAGTTAGAGTATTTCTGGTTGTAGGTTTTTTTTTCTTTTTTTTTTTTTTATTAATTTTTTTTTTTCAACGTTTATTTATTTTTGGGACAGAGAGAGACAGAGCATGAACGGGGGAGGGGCAGAGAGAGAGGGAGACACAGAATCGGAAACAGGCTCCAGGCTCTGAGCCATCAGCCCAGAGCCTGATGCAGGGCTCGAACTCACAGACCGCGAGATCGTGACCTGGCTGAAGTCGGATGCTTAACCGACTGAGCCACCCAGGCGCCCCTGTAGGTTTTTTTTCTTTTCAGCACTTTGAACATATCATGCCACTTCCTTCTGGCTTGCAAAGTTTCTGCTAAAAATTAGTTTATAGTCTTAAGGCTTTTCCCTTGTAAGTGACTTTTTGTTTCTCTCTCACTGCTTTTATGATTCTCTGTTTATCTTTAATCTTTGACATTTTAATTATTATGTGCTATGGCGTAGACTTACTTGGGTTCATCTTGTTTGGAATCTCTGTTTCTTGAACTTCAATGTCTATTTCTCTTCTTAGGTTAGGGAAGTTTTCAGTTATTATTTCTTGACATAAGTTTCTACACCTCTTTCTTTTTTTCTACAATGTGAATGTTTTTTGGCTTGATCTTGTCCGAGAGATCCCTTAATTATCCTCATTTTAAAAAATACTTTTCTCTTTTTGCTATTCAACTTGTGTGCTTTCTATTACCCTGTCTTCCAGATCAATGATATGTCTTCTGCATTTTCTTGTCTATTGTTGATTCCCTGTAGTATGTTTTTTGTTTCAGTTATTGTATTCTTCAATTCTTATTGGTTCTTTTTAATATTTTCTATGTCTTTATTGAAGGTCTCTACATTCTTCCATTCTTTTATCTAGTCCAGTGAGTATCTTTGTGATCATTACTTTAAATTCTTTATCAGGCATATTGCTTATCTCTATTTCATTTAGTTCTTTTTCTGAGTTTTTTTTTTTTTTTTTTCTTGTTCTTTCTTTGGAGCATATTCCTCTGTCTCCCCAGTTTTCTTGCTTTTCTCTGTTTGTCTCTGTGGATAAGATGAAATGACTACTTCTAAAGTTGAAGAAGTGATCTTGTGTATGGTGTTCCTTAGGCAGACTGTGTGTGCTTAGTGACTTTTGTCGGCTGACTGGAGGTGTGGCTGTATATCTTTTAAACCATGGGATGTCTCCATCTCTCTTGCTGTTTTCTTGCCATTCTTTCTATTTTGGTTGCTCAGTAGCTGTTCAGTCGGCCCTCAGTTCTTCACTAAGAATTGTTCTATTAATAGGTGTAATGTGGTGTGTTCCAGGGTGAAAGTGAGTTCAGAGTTTTTTCTTATGTTGCCATCTTGAACTGAAACATGCTCTTGTATTTTGTATCATAGCTTTAAATCTCTCCATGTGTGTGATGTATATTTTGAACATTTCAGCTTATAATACATTGTATTATACAATTATTGATGTTCATGTTAACTTCAGTATTTATAAAGACCACAGCAAATCCTTTATTTTTTACAAAGATACGCTGTTATCTACAAAAAGAAAGAAATAATCAGATTTGGTGGAATATGCAAAGCATTCTATATTAAGCAAAGCATGGCCTTCAACATTTACTCAATAAAAATAAATAACCCTTTTGACATCCAATGTAGAAGAAAAATTATCATAATGACCCAGATATACTATCTCACTACCTGGAATTACCTTAAACTTCATGCCTTATGTGATTTTTTTCCTGGATGGTCCCTTCATTTAAAATGCTGGTCTCCTCCCAACTTTTTCTAAGTTCAAAATATTGGTTATCTTTCAAATTGACCCCAAATATTTCCTCTTCCATGAAGATTCCTCTTATTCCCCAATGAAAACAGCTGCTCATTTCTCTGAGCAATCAGAATTGTGTGTTCCTCCATTATCCCATGGACTTACAACAATTTATGTTTTACTTATAGATGTTTCTCCCATTTGGCTGTAAGCTTCTTAAGAACAGGGTCAATATCCTGGTCCTTCTTGCTCTTCACATAGTGCCTGACATTCATTATTCATCCAGCAATCATTCACTGCATGCCTACCATTCAATACCACAGAGTGAACATAAGGGAGAAAATTGCAGCAAAAAATCAACAACTAAATGTCAGTGTTGTGGAGAAATTTTCCAAGTTAGGAAACTGAAAAAAATGAGGAAAAAAGTGTTGCCACAGATCAGGTTATGGAAAGGATTAACAGAAGATATCACAGAACTGGTTTATTTTTATAACCAGCATATCTGCTTCTAAGATACAAACCCCTCTCTTCTACTGCTTTGCCCATTTTTGTGATCTGAGACCCCTGTGGTTTGTGTATAGAAAGCTGGTAGACCCAGGGTGAGTAAAATAAATCTAATCAATGTTCATCTGCAAAAGAAAACATGAATTAGCAGTGAGAATCTAAGGGAAGGAAAAGACAAAACCTTTTTTTCTTGGCAGAGGCCTGAGGCCCAACTTGTGACTGTCAAGCTACTGCATAAGTTCTTAGTAAAGAACTTGTTCTCTTTTGAAACCTTCTGTCAAAGCAAAACATATTGCTGTCTCAGCATGTACATCAGAGCTAGATTTATTTCAAATACCATTTTTGTGTGTATACTCTTATAGAATACTTGGCTTCCTGCTTCTCTAGTATTTATTAAACTCAATTTTTCAGAACATCTGTACTAAAATATTTTTAGTTACCATTTTCAAATAATTTCTGGTAGGGCAATGTTAGGCCAATATTGTGCTTAATTCTATACTCTGAGGACTTTCTTTCTCAATGCAGGGCCTCCTGGTCTTTTCCACTGAACCTTCAGTCACTCTTTACATCTCATGATCCATTCATCCACAGAATGCAGAAATGCTTTCTGATTTTATACAAGGTTATTGGATACTGAACCCAATTTTTAAAAATTCCCTAAAGCAATTAACCTCACAAAAGCATCCTCTTCCATACCAATGTCTTAGAATCACAGAAAGTTGTTAACTATTAAGATCTCTGTATATATTTCTAAATTGACCTGTGGCTCTATTTTATTTCTAATGCCTTCTCTTCTAATGTGTCATTGGCTGTTCATCTTTAATTCTTCCAAACTCTTTCTGAAAAACCTGTTATTCCTTCACAACTGAGCCCTTATGGTGCACAGATAAGCCTCCCCAATTTTCTAGGGAACCCCAGGTTACTGTCTTAGGTGGGGACTGTCATGTTATTAGGGTCCCCATCAACTTTTAATAAGTTATAACCCATATTTCCATTTTTAAAGTAGTACATACTAAAATCCAATGATTTTCAAAATATTTCATTTAAAATGTCAGCTTAACTCTGAAAGAATAAATACCCTATGCATTATCAAATGATAGATTTAAAAATTCCCAGTATAGAAGAGCCTAAAGTATCCTAACATGGCATCAGCTCAGCTGAGTTCAAATCCTGGCTCTGCCCCAGATTGGGTAGACTTGAGGAGTTTTTCTGGATCCCTGAGCATCATTCATCTTTCTAGATGCCCTATCAAGCATCTATTGCATGCCATAAGCCAACATCATAGTGGCAAACAAGTCATTCACAGTGGTTCACTAAGCTGACATGCCAATGCACTAAATTTCCTCATTTTTAAAATAAAAATAGTAACACCCATCTTGTAGGGTGTAAAAATTAAATGGCTTCTTGCCACCTCTGCTCCATGGCACCACCACCATCCTCCCCCCGCTTTCTTATCCATAAAAGATGATCTCCGTAAGTTTCCCTGCTGAACCTCTTCAATATGAAATAAGCTTTTCTAACCAGACCAGGTCAGCTCACAGGAAGCCACACCTCCAGCTGAATTATTCTGGGGGCTGTCTTTGTGGCCCCTGCACAACTACGAGAACAGTGTCACTGGTTCATGTCATACTATCCACTGCCCAGAAAATGCCTGGGTTTCCTCCATGCATTTTCTTATCCTTCCCACATTATCATTTCAAAATGCCCATTCAGATGGAAACAACACTGTATCTCCCTTATTATTGGCAAGAGGTTTTCTTTCTTCCAGGTGAGTTGCTTAGAGATTCCTCATGCATTATTAGTTGAAACAAGGGAAGGATGGATAGAAAGAATATACCTTGTTGAAAGCATCTTTTAGTTAAATCTACATTCCATGAAATGGATCCACACCCAAATACACAGTTGTTTGGAGTTATTGGTTCAAAGACTGAAAACTGAAGAATGTATTTCTAAAGGTGTTTGTATGTTGAAGTATAAAGTGTAACTCTGGAAGGAATCCATGTTTAATGCTATGTACATTTGTTTCTAGATTCTGTTAGAAGTTGTGTAGCAAAGTTGTTCTTTACCTGCTCCCTGAAGGGTCATTACTGCCTCTACAGTAAATCCAGTTTTATTCTCATCAGCCAAGAGCCTCAGCCATGGATCCAGATCATGTTCCTCTTTCAGCAGGTATGTATATCCATGTTTGTCATGGCTCCATAGTGAGTTGGTGGGGTATGAGTTTATAATCATTTTTACTGAATTGTTCTTTGACTAGAGTTCGATGTAAATAACAGCAACGCATACACATTTCATTAGTAATTTTTAACATGGGTTTTCTATATTTTAGGATAGTTTCTTTATAAAAGACCTTAGATTAACATCAAGGAGGCCAAACCTATTAATATCATGAATATTCTTAGTTTGAAAAAGAAGAAGAGAAAATACTTCTGTTACAGAATAACAAAAACAGCTTATTTGGAGGAATAGCTTTCTTTATGTAGAGTTTGTCTTTATTTCTCCACAGCCTTCCAATCTCCAATTAATTTTAGTGTCAACATATCCTTTTTGACATTATTAAGATACGGGAATGCCACCTTTCCCCATAGATGTTATGTATATAGGTAAAATTACATAAAGAGGAAATTTCAACTTAATGAACAACTTAATGCAAACATTTTAGCATCAAAAGAGATTCTTGAATATTTGGAAATACTTATCTTGAATATATTAAACTTTCACATAAAATTTAAATATAGACTATAAAATGTAAATAATAGAAGGAATACCAGACATCATTTTTACAGATAACAAAATTAAAGGCAGAACTCAGAACACCTGACACCTGACTCAGTGGTCTCTGTGGTCTTTTCCTAGTAGCACATGTGTTAAAAAATGAAATGTGGAGTCGCAGGCAGGAGCAGGAAGGGGTGAAACAGAACATGAATGTTAAAAAATAGGTAAAAATTAGGCAAGGCATGCCTGGGTGGCTCAATCGGTTAAGCATCCAACTCTTGATTTTGGCTCAGGTCGTGATTTCAAAGTTCATGAGTTTGAGCCCCGCATCAGGCTCTGCACTGAGCATGGAACCCACTTGGGATTCTCTCTCTCCCTTTCTCTCTCTGCCCCTCCCCTGCAGTCTCTCTCTCTCAAATAAATTTTAAAAAATAAAATAATAAAGAAATTGTGGTTTATATACACAATGGAATACTACTTGGCAATGAGAAAGAATGAAATATGGCCTTTTGTAGCAACGTGGCTGGAACTGGAGAGTGTTATGCTAAGTGAAATAAGTCATACAGAGAAAGACAGATACCATATGTTTTCACTCTTATGTGGATCCTGAGAAACTTAACAGAAGACCATGGGGGAGGGGAAGGAAAAAAAAAGTTAGGGAGGGAAGGAGCCAAACCATAAGAGATTCTTAAAAACTGAGAATAAACTGAGGGTTGATGGGGGTGGGAGGGAGGGGAAAGTGGGTGATGGGCATTGAGGAGGACACCTGTTGGGATGAGCACTGGGTGTTGTATGGAAACCAATTTGACAATAAATTTCATATTAAAAAGATAAATAAAATAAAATATTTCTGTAAGAGCACCTATCAAAGTCACCAACCAGATAATTACATTTCTTTATAAAGAAAATGAAAGCTTACTAAGAAAAATTAATTTTAATGCTGAATAGATTGTAATCATAAAATGGAAAATTAAGAGACAACTTAGACATGCCTTAGGAATACCATCTTTTCCTATATGAAGCCTTTAAAAAAAAAACTTAATAATATCTCATAGAGAACAACTCGCAGTTTGATGTGAACCAAATTTATGTGACTATAAAAAGCAGCATTTTTTTTCCTTTCCTTGAACTGACCTTATTATTCTTCTACTTATATTTTTCAAATAGTTTTCATCAGTGATTTTGTATTTGGTTTCATTGTTGGCTTTGTTCTTCTTAGTTGTCAGTTTTCAGAAAATAAACCAAAAACTTGATTTTATTTTTGCCCCTTTAGTCTTGTTTTATTGATTTAGTCTGATTCTTATGTTTCTCTTTAAGCAAAATCACGCAAAAGTATCTATAGTTTATGCTGCTTTTCTTCTTTGTTAATTTTACTATGTTTCCTTTCTTTTTCCACAGCTTGTTATTGGGTAGTCTGGGTGAATCCTGACTTGTGATTAAACAATAATCAAATCTTTGACTTGATCATTACAAACCCAGTACTAGCCTTATATGCTGGGTCAGACTCTTTCTTTTCTCTGTAAATTTAACACATTCATGGAATTCTCAACTTCACAGATTCTGATCTCAATGATCCTCTTTGGAATGATGATTAGTTAAATCAGGTCCTATTTTTCTTCAAGTGAAAAATCATATGCTGTGTAAGTTTCTGATAATAATTAAGAAACTCCCAGATGTGTCCACATTATGCATTGTATAATTAATCTGTTATGGGCTCTTAGACTTTTTTAATCTGTAAGCTATTTATTTGGGGTATGAGATCCTCCACCTTTCTTCACTCAGTATAAAAAACAGCTTATCTTGGTGATGATAATAATTAAATTTTTCTGGGAAAAAACTTATTGGTTTTCATTTAGTAAATTGAAACTTTGTACACACAGACCACCTAAATCCCCATAAGCTAATGCTTGGACAATCACTGACACAGAAAATAAAATTTTATAAACCAATTCCATTATTTTACCAGACCTCACATATAAAGGATAATACATATGGTATTATAAGTAAATAAATAATATTTTATGCCCTTTATTATGTTCTATGTTTTTATAAAATTGTTCTTTTGAATTAAAATACTTCTCACTTTATAGATATCACAACACAATGTTTAAGTGACTATTAAACACGATTGATTAGTAAATATATAAACAACTTAAATCTTCCTTTAAAACTTTGTTTTCATTGACTTAAATGAAATATATGTAAATGTGATTTTTTAAAAATTTATATCCAAGTTACTTAGCATATAGTGCAACAATGATTTCAGGACTAGATTCCTTAGTGCCCTTTACCCATTTAGCTCATCGCCCCTCCCACAACCCTCCAGTAACCCTCTGTTCTCCATATTTAACAAAATCACTTACCAAAAGTATCTATAGTTTATGCTGCTTTTCTTCTTGTTAATTTTGGCCATAAGCCTTTCTTTTCCACAGCTGTTAAGTAGTCTAAGTGAATCCTGACTTGTGGATTAAACAATAATCAAATCTTTGACTTGATCATTACAAAACCCAGTACTAGCCTTATATGGTCAGACTTTTCTGTAAATTTAACATATCTGAATTCTCAACTTCACAGATTCTGATCTCAATGATCTCTTTGGAATGATGATTAGTTAAATCAGGTCCTATTTTTCTTCAAGTGAAAATCATATGCTGTGTAAGTTTCTGGATAATAATTAAGAAACTCCCAGATGTGTCCACATTATGCATTAAATTAATCTGCTATGGGTTTGGGGACTTTTTAATCTGTAGCTATTTATTTGGGCAGTGAGATCTCCACCTTCTTTTCACTCCAGTATAACAGCTTATCTTATTGATGATAATACACTAAATTTTCTAAAAAAAACTGTTGGTTTTCTTTCATATATTTAGTAAATTAGAAACTTTGTACACACAGACCACCTAAATCCCCATAAGCTAATGTTTGACAATCACTGACACAGAAAATGTAATTTATAAAACTAATTCCCCCATTATTTTACCACATTATATAAGGATAATACATATATATTATAAGTAAATAAATAATATTTTATGCCCTTTATTATGTTCCTATGTTTTATAAAATTGTTCTTTTGAATTAAAATACTTCACTTTTATAGATATCACAACACAATGTTTAAGGGACTATTAAAACACGATTGATTAGTAAACAACTAAATCTTCCTTTAAAACTTGTTTTTAATAAATGAAATATATGTAAATGTGATTTTTTAAAAAATTTATATCCAAGTTACTTGAAGTATATAGAAGTGCAACAATGATTTCAGGACTAGATTCCTTAGTGCCCTTTACCCATTTAGTCGATCGCCTCCCACAACCCTCCAGTAACCCTCTGTTCTCCTATATTTAAGTGTTTCTATGTTTTGTCCCCTCTCCCTGTTTTTTATATTATTTTGCTTCCTCTCCCTTCCCT